GGCAAGATGCTACTAAATAAAGTATATCCAACTCTACACAAAGTTAGGAGACATATGATTTATTTTTACTCCTGTTCTGTGGCCATAATTTTGCTGTGAACATATTTGATTGCAAATACTGCTTGTAGAAATATTTTTGTATTTTTGTTTAGTTTGAAAAGTTCCAAAAACCACCTGAACAACTTAAAATCTATTCTCTGTTTAAGGGTTCTCATAAATATATTACCACTTTCAATTGCTCAAATTGGATAGAACAAGTTAAATATACTAAAACCAATATTATTTATTATTTATATGGCAAATTAAGAAGGACTGACTACGGGGGGCGTGGCCTGGCTATGAACCGGAGCGGTCGCATGTGTTAGGAGCTCCGCTCTAAAACGGCTTCTATGAGCAATTAAGCCCAAACTTCTTGACACCGAAACAAAAGAATGTCGCAGCCCAAAGGGAAAAGAGCCACAGAGAAGTCTGAAAAAAACAATTTCTTCGTCTCCAGAACCGGACAAACGAAACTCCAGCAACCGCAAGAGCAGGCCCAAGATGGCACCGACGAAACGGCGGACCTCAGAGAACACTCGGCGGACAAAGAGCTAGTGCTAACACAAAACTCCCTGAAAACACTGCTGGACGATATGTCCACTAAAATAATGCATAAGCTTGACTCCACAATGAAAGAACTGAAAAAAGACATACAGGAGCTGGGGATGAGAACCTCATGCGTGGAGGACAAAATGGCGGAATATGATACGGCCCACAACACTCTGGTGAGCACAGTGGACTCCATCTTGGCGAGATTGGACTCGCAGGACGTGAAACTTGCGGACATGGAAGACCATGCCCGCAAAAACAACCCCAGCATAAGGGGTATAGAAGAAGCAGTAAGCGCACCAGACCTCATGGCCATGGGCGTAGGAACCGGGGGGGGATGGAGGGGACGCATCCCCCCAGCAAATCATGCGGGGGAGACAGGTTATGGGGAAATCCCCCCCCAGCTCCGCCACCCCCCCCATGCTGCAGCCGCCCGAGCGCTCTGTAGAGAACCTCAGGCGGCTGCAGCTTTGCCCGGGTGGTGCGTCCAGGAGGGAGGGAGGGGGAGAGTGTGACAAGGGAGGGAGGGGGAGAAAGAGAGTGACAAGGGAGGGAGAGAGGGGTAGAAAGAGTGACAAGGGAGGTAGGGGGAGAAAGAGTGACAAGGGAGGGAGAGAGGGGGAGAAAGAGTGACAAGGGAGGGGGAGAAAGAGTGACAAGGAAAAGAGGGAGGAAGAGAAAGAGTGACAAGGTAGGGAGGGAGAGAAAGAGTGACAAGGGAGGGAGGGGGAGAAAGAGTGACAAGGGACGGAGGGAGGGAGAGAAAGAGTGACAAGGGAGGGAGGGGGAGAAAGAGTGACAAGGTAGGGAGGGAGAGAAAGAGTGACAAAGGGAGGGAGAGAGGGGGAGAAAGAGTGACAAAGGGAGGGGGAGAAAGAGAGTGACAAGGGAGGGGGAGAAAGAGAGTGACAAGGGAGGAGGAGAAAGAGAGTGACAAGGGAGGGAGGGAAATTGACATCCATCACACACACAATCGCACAATCATGCAAACCTTACACACCCAGAAACACACAATGCATTCCTTACACACACTAAATGCACCCCGTACACACACTCAATGCACCCCTTACAGACGCACACACTGCATCCTATACATACACAGAAACACACCTTGCAGCCCTTACATATACTAACACAGATTCACACATTGCATTCCTTACACACATATCAGGACATCCCCTACACACTCCACCCCCTGTAAACAAACTCATTGGTGGAACATGAAGGTGGACCCTGGGACCCAGACCTTGAGCTGTGTAAAGGGCCCCCAAAAAATGGAGCTGCTTCCCGTTCTCCCAGAACATTGATTTTTGTGATCACAGTTACAAACAGCCTCCAGAGAGCCTGTTCTACACCAGACCAGTGGAGTCAGACTGCAGCTAGAGCCCATCATCATCCTCATCTGGTTGTAAGTAGGCAATCTAGCATATTATTCGTGGCACTAATCTCTAATTTACATGGAAAGGGGTTCTAATATAAATGGAAGGGGTAGAGACGGGTAGTAAAATGTATGGAATGCATTTCTGAAAGTGTCACTGAATGGCAGTTAGGAAATGTGGTCACCCTAAGTCAGGGGCAGTATTACACAATCTGTATATGTATAAAAAAAAAATATAAAAGGTAATCTGCAAAGTACAAAATGTTTGTGTCATATGTCGTGCTAAAAATTAAGCTAGGAATGTGCATTTTTAAATAATTTTTAGAATAATGATACAGACATTTTATTTCTTACATTTGTGATGATTCTTTTTTCATCTCTATATTCAAGGGACACTATAGTCACCAGAACCACAACAGCTAAATGTAGTAGTTCTGGTGTCTATTGCAGGCTTTTTAATGTAAGCACAGCCATTTCGTAAAAAGGCAGTATTTACATTACTGATGAGGAATACCTCCAGTGGACACTCACATGGCCACTAGAGGTGCTTCCTAGTCGAGACATGAATGCCGCCCTATGAAGTGTTTTTGACACTTTTAAGAGACATATTGCACTATTTGGCTTTTTCTGTTCTCTTTCATACGCTGTTATGAAGTGGAGGTCTACCTAAGAACACTGTAAAAGAATCAGTTACCAGAAAGACTACTATCTTTACACTGTGCTTCGAACTGTATCATGCTGCTTGGTATCCCATCATATTTTTATCTATTACTGTAGTTACATTTTTTCCTTATTTGTGTTTTTATGATGGGGGGGGGGGTTTATTATCTAGAGATACCCTTGGTTGGTGCACACTACATTTTTGCTTTGTTTTATCCCGTTTAATAATACCCATCTGATGGCCCTATGTGCATAAGCCACCCAAGTATACGGGCCCATGTGTGGGCTACCCAAACACATTAATCTTGCATATTCAGCTGTACTTATTTTCTCAAATATAATTAATTGTTTTGATCCACTTCAATAAGGTGAGAAAGAACAAAAGTAGAGTAAAAAAGTAGACTTGTGCACAAACATGTTTCAGGTGGGTCAAACAAATTAAATAACTTTTAATCTTTTCCTGAATTAATCAATCTGCCTGGGATTTACCTGTTATGTCTTATTCACTTAATTATTTATTGTAGTAACGTACCCTTTATTAGGTATGTCACTTAGCAATAAACCTAAAAACCCTCAGTTGCTTCTATTTCGGTCTAGGTACCTTACCTTGCCAGACACATTTAATAATTGCTGTATTAATAAAATAGAAAAAGTTCAATATTAAGATAATCTGGATAAACCAGGTGACATGAGGGACAAATATGTTTGTATCTTGTCAAGTAACGGAAGGCGATTACTTTGTTACAGGTGTGAAGGCCAAGGATGAGCCAAATTCCCAACCACCTGGCATTGGTATCAGTGTAAGAGAAACTTACATCTAGATTGTGTCCTTGTAATATTTAGTTACAGTGATTGTGACGAAGTGCCCTTCGCCACTTGTGCCTGGAGAGGACTAATTGCCAGCCTCCTGCCCTGCGACTATGGTCCCTGGAAGATTTTGCCCTTTAAATACGTTATTTGGGCATAGTGAATTTAATTAGACTGGTTCTGGCCCTTTAAATGCTCTGACACTTCGGATGCAGGGTGTGAAGAAAACCCCTGTTTTATGGACTTAGACTGTTTTAACCTCCCTTAGAACACCAGTTTAAACCCTTAATAACTATCATAACTGTCAAACTCTGTCTGACACTTTTAACTGTCAGTTTGTTTTCCTCTGAGGAGTTGTTTTTTTTGCTGCATGAGTGCTGTTGCTTTTGTGTGCTCATTAAACAGACCTGCTTGACCCTTTCTTGAAGCCTTGGCTCATGCTTGGGGGATGGGATAAGTCTGCAGTGCTGATGGTGTCGGTTGGAGTGCTTGGAGTCCTCGGCAAGCACTAGAAGCATCGATTGGCGGAGGTACTCGGTCGCAGTGCCAGCGGGTTTGTCACATTGATCTTAAGAAAGTCTACAATTTATATGTATATTTAATGTTTATATAATTCATAGTTACGTAGGCTGATAAGAGGCATGTGTCTCACATCTGTTATTTTGCTGTTGATCCAAAATGCCCAGTGTGAAGCACCTCCAATTTTGAAAGACTAGGGAAATAAAGTTCCTTCTTGCCCTCAGAATGGCAGTCAGATTTATCCTTAGATCAAGAAGCTATTACCCAACAGTTTAAAAAGTAAATCATTGTAAACTATGTTATTGCAATTATGCATCTAGTTGCTGTTTAAACACATGTACAGACTGATAAAAAAAAATAAAAAAAAAACTTCTTTAAGCAGAGAATTGCACATCCTTAAAAACTTTCCTTTGCCTTAGATTAAATCTCATAAATGTGTTTATAGGTATTAGAGTATGCAATTTAAGTGTTTGTTAATACAACATGCAAATACTGTGAAGTTGTGATTGTGAGGTCTACAATATGTGTTAGATCTAAATGTCTTGAAGAAAAGTTTGAGCAATCAATGGTCAGAAAAGTGATGCTAATCTTGACAGCTCTTGATAGCACTTTGTTAATGTGAAGATCTTAAAGAGTAAGCAAGCTCATGAACACGAAAATATGGATGTATTTACTAAAATTCACCTTGTAATCCTAATGGCAAAATATATGCACACATAGTTAAATTCTCCAGATGATAACTAACAATTTCATACTTTAAAATTTAGAAAACAGCTTTATGTTATATATATATATATCTTACAATACATGTAAATGAATATATACTCTATTAGTCAGATTAATTAAGCCTGTCAGCCCAGATGATTTAGTATTGTAACGTTATACAAGATTAAAAAAAAAAAATAAAAAAAAAAAAAAGGATAGGGGCAGTGTAATTTACCTCTTTTTATTATTAACCATCTTTCACTACACGTTGGAAGCATATTATACAAGCAAAGAACTAGATGACACTTGACCGAAAAAAAAAAAAAAAAAAAATTGAGGTTCTGAGAAAAAAAATAATTATGTAATAGTGCATATAAACCATAGGGCTTTTTCACTAAACTCTTCTATATTCGTTCCTTGGCCATTTTAACATTAGTTTTGACATTTGCTTTTGCTTCAACAATGTTTAGTGAAAAGAGATTTGCTTAACACCGGAATATTTTCTACTATTCAGTGAACTGAAATAAGCCATGGAAACAGCTATTAGGCTATTTTAGCCTAACTTTTTGCAATTCAGTTTTCAATCCACCACAATAGGAGATTTATTCACAAAACAGTTATATATTAAATAATATATTGCTCTCTTTTGAGAATAACTCCTGCTGTGATGGAAATACAGTATAATAATTCTATAAGTATGATTATTTTACCCCTATAAGAACCACTGATGGCCTAGGAAATCTGTTTAGGAATCCCATTCTAAAATGGAATGGCCTAGTCAAATATTGACTGCAGGCCTTTTGAGATAAAAGCAATCTCCTTACCGAGGTGGATGTTAAACTTCTATAACACCCACCAATCAAGGCAAATCTCCACCATGACACTAGCGTGTAAACAGAGTGATATTGCTATGGATAGAGAGCAGAAGGATCGCCTGTAGAAGGTCCATTCTGCTCTCCATGTCAATCAATTCTTCATCTATGCCGAAAAACTGATTAAAAAATGAAAGAAAAAACATATTTTTAAAAAAGGTCTTTCCCTAATCTATACATTTGCTAGCACAATTTGTAAATAAAATGTAATGCTATTTTCTAAGAGCATGAGTAGTAGGATGGGGGGGTGGGGGTTGAATGGACCCCTTTAAAGTGCGTTTGGTATGCAGTTACAAATCTATGACACTTTATCCTAAGGTGGAGACAGCGTCAATATAAATTTTACACTGGTGAGTAAATGGTAAAATTTAGGAATGACAAAAAAAACTTTTAATTTTTTTTTTTTATTTACAATTTCTTTTTTTTCTCAGAAAAAAATAAATCAAGTGTTTATTGCCAATATGCAAATAAAAGGAAAAAACATACAAAACAGTCATAGGAATACTTAAGTAGCATTCATGACACCTCATACAAAATATATTTTGGGCTAGTTAGTCCAGGACTCTTTTTGTAGAATGTCAGGACTCAAGACCAATGCATTACATATCTGCAGTAGCATGTCAGCCTTTTGCAAGACTGCTGCTGCATTGTTAATTAGGTTATCATTTAAATATACTTAAATTTGCAGACTATGTACAAGACTGGTAACAGAAATATGTTAAAAATCCACTAGGGAAGTGTATGAAATAGTAAAATATTGATATTTGACTAGCTTACAGCTACTGGTAAAGAAAAGATATTGTTCTGTTCAGTTATGGTTTTACCTAATCAGAATGGGTGTTTTTGTGTTAAGGAAAGGCCCAAACGTAAAATCAGAAACTATACTGTACAAAAATGTAATTAGAGGAATTAGGAATAAACACATCAAGAGCTATGCTTCTGACGCTTCCAGAAGCGTTTGACATCTGAGTGGCCAGCTGGTGTTACAACCATTACACGTCTGGCAGGATTTTCAAAGACTAGTACACCAAGGTCCCGAGCGTAGTTTCTCAGAAGCTCAAAGTCCACCTGGGACAGGAACTGATTGTACAGGACACCTAAGAAAAGAAGAAACATAATTGGATCATTAGAAGAGCAGCCTATTTTAAATATGGGCCTAGAGAATTATTATGCAATAAAGAAAGCAAGCAAAAAACAAAACATATGCATTATTGAGTCAGCTATTTGGGACCATCATTTTTCTATTGTACCTTCAGAGAAACGAAGACGATCTCTCTCAAGTTCCCAAAGACGAATCTGGTCCGTGATTGTTGGGGGAAGTACTGGAGTCTGTAAGAAGACAATTCCAACATGAAAATACATCAGAATGTTCATGTTCGTGAAATGTTAGAAAAATAAAAAATAAAAATGATGGTGCAATACATTGTGAATGTGTTCTTGACAGAAACTTATATCTCACCTGACTTAACATCACAGAATGAGCTCGCGTCCTCAAAAAATGGATTACCTGTATGAAACAAATAAAAACAAAGATAGCAAAACTTAGATTACTTAGTGTACGTTGCTGTCACTAATGGGGTGAAATTATCTAATATTTAAAAATTCATGTAATCCATTTTAAGAAAAACTAAAGTTTAACAGGGAGAAAAATATGAAAAAAAAAAAAGGAAAGAATTCGAATTGGTGAAACTGCAGTAAACAAAGGCGCCCTCTTACTTTAGGAAGGCCACGAGTCTCTATGCAGCTTAATCCCCAACAGCAAGTTCATACATACAGAATGAATGAAATCACTGAATAAAATGGGAGAGCACTGTGAGGAACTTGTTACATATTCCCTCACAGTGAATGGAAAATTAGGATGGCAAAATAAGTAAGCATATATTCCTTTTTTGATGTCAGAGACAGAAAGGGACACGGTTCTAGCAGCAGCAAATTTCACAAATTAGTTCAGTTATAAGCAACTGTGTGCAAAAACACAAACAACAGGATATCTGTGCATCATACAACATAGAGCATAGAGTGTCTTAATTTGCACAACAAATCAATTCTACTATAGCTTGCAATTGGTTAACCAGTTGTCATTTTATACTGGACAAGATAGGTAAAATCTACCTCTCATTACTTAAAGCGGCACTGTGATGCCGAACTTACCTTTCCCCAATCAATAACTCTTCTCTCCCTTACTCGGAATCTGATCTTTTTTACCATCTGATCTAGTTTTCTTTAAAACAGAAGACAAAGTAGGGACTACTTTGTCTTATGTATTTTTCCTACACTTGACCAGCTTAAGTGGGTCATAGAAATTTTCCCAAAATACTAACCCATTCTTCCGTGATCTTGCGATGCCTCCATGAACTATTCCCGAACGTCCTGTCATTTAGATAGGATGCTGGCGAAACTACCGAATTTCGGCTCAACAGAATGAGAACAGTTTGTTCATTCATGCTAGGACGACATTTTGGTACTTTTAGGTCGGTTCGAAATTTCGTTCAAATTAATTTATACCTTTATATACTTATATATAATTTTTCTACATTTTTTCTACCTGTTACACGCCAAAATAATTGGTCTGACACTTTATTCCTCTGTTTTTTTTCACACTTTATGTTACGATTGATTACATTCACAAATTAAGATAGATTATTATTACAATGTGAAGGGTTATTTTATTCACTGAACAAAAGGAGTTAGTGAAAACGGCTTATCTGACAAAGAAAATCAGGGGTGGAAAATGTTGTTGACGCACTTTTATACCTCTTTTGATACACCTTAAGCGACAAATGTGTGAAAAACAAACCCCCCAAAAAACAAGAAAATAAAATATTGGAAGAGGTGTAGTTAAAGGAACATTATAGGGACAGGAACACAACCATGTATTCCTTAATATAGTACAATCTTACCTTAATTCCAGTCTGTTGGTGTTGGCTCTGCCCCTGATCTGCCTTCTTGACCGACATCATCAGAAGTAATAGGAAAGAATTGGATTGGCTGGGATTGTCAATTCTGATGATCGCACCCAAGGAGGTGGGCTAGGGGACAGAGCCAAACCCCACTCTTGCCAATCAGCATCTTCTAATAGAGTTGTATTGAATCAATGCATCTCTATGAGGAAAGTTCAGTATCTCCATGCGGAGGCTGAAGACACTGAATTTCAGTGCATTTCAGTGCAGCAGAGCCCTAGGAAGCACCTCTAGTAGCCATCTGAGGAGGTGTCACTGGAGGTGTCCCTAGGCTGTAATGTAAACACTGCCTTTTTTTCTGAAAAGACAGTGTTAACGGCAAAAAGCATGCAAGGATGGACTATACTCACCAGAACAACTACATTAAACTGTAGTTTTTCTTGTGACCATAATGTCCCTTTAAGAACATTTTCGTACATAAAAGGGAAAAAAATAGGAAAAGAATTAGACAAACAGCCTACAAAGAGAACATACAGCTTTTATACATAACATCGTGTGTGTTTTATCTCATTTACCTGCTCAGCAGTGATGCCATTTCCGATAGCTTGTTGAACACTCTCACGAGTCACCTGTGCTACCACGAGGTTTGGAAAACGATAAAGCATCTCTGAGAAGAGAGCAATTAGGGCGATCTGCAGTTCTGAATCTGAGGACATTTTAAGAAATCAGAGTTCACACAGGGATGACCATTATTATACTAAAGCACATAACTTTCAATAAAATTATACACTGTATACCTATGACACCAAGTAAACTGTAAATGCATAACTGCTCCAATTTAACAAACTGTTTTAGAGTCCAGTGACGGGGTATTATGACTCTGTGTGTACTTTATATGAACAACAGAAAAAGGTTTAGGCACTCCAAGGTTAAAGCACGCAATTTTATTTTAACCAATATTTCGACCGAATAGGTGTTTCTCAAGCTTAAGAAAATGACGTACATTTTTCTAAGTGTTAAACTCAAGTAAAGGAAACATTATTCTGTATTGGTCCCTACATTTACTACGATTAACACTTGCATATGATCATCCAGGAATGTGGTTTGCTTGTGAACCAGGGATATTTATCTACATGTTAGTAATCTGCTTTTTAAACCATCCAATGCTTATGAAGTCCTTGGGCAACTTCAATAGCAGAAAAAACAACACGGTTACGCAGACTGCTAGGCAAATGGGTAAAGACACAAGAGAGGGGAGGCGTATTATTCTGTAGGTGCTTCCCTATTGTGCAAATATGCAGTGGTCCAGTTAAAGCGGCACTGTTATGCCGAACTTACCTTAGGTCCCCCGCTTATTGTTATTTATGGGGTGGGAGTGGCGGGGGCGGGGGGAGGACAATGGGCCCCCCTCCTCCCTCTCATTATCCTTTAGGGCCCAACTCGCCACTCAGGGAGCTACTGCTTCTATCTTTACATTTTAGAAGGAGGGAGCTGCGCGCTAGTAGGTCCCTCCTTGTAATAAACTGAACGAACACCGATACTCTGAGTTTGTTTGTTCGTCTGACATTTCTATTCATTCATTCATCTTTCTGACGAATGAATGAATAGATGAAATTCCTGTTCGAGTGCCCAAGTGTTTAACTGGGCATGCGCGGGAATTTCACAGCGATATCTAGAGTGGGCAGATGACATGTCCCACAGGGACTTCATCTACCCACACAAAGATGGCGGTGCCCATGATCTATGTCCAGGCAGAAAATAAAGATTAAAAAATAGGTAATATGGGAGGCTTAGGGGATGACTAGGGGGTCAATTAGATGTAGTGTAGTTGGGAGAGTGATTAAAAAACAAACAAAAAAAAACCCCGGAATTCGGCCATGACAGTGCCGCTTTAAGCTCACATCCGATATGTGAAATGTTATTCAGAGCTTGTGTTTCATGGAGGGTGCGCTGCATGCTCACTAGTACTGAGATTTAATTTACCAATTGTGAGTCCTTGATATGCACTTCAATGTAAGGCTAACAAAAAAGTGATGAATACTTGTTATAGGATTTGAACACCATCTTAAAAACAATGTTTGAATGCCTTCTTGTTTAACTACAAATATGTCAGTCACGTAGTGTTTATTTTGGAAAGCAATCCTCGTTACTAACCTGTATACGCATATATCCTGTAATTTGTTTCCACAACAATAAAGCCTTGTTTATGGCTATCCACCGAGGTACCAGATACCCCTGATGCAAGGTTTATAGCCAGACGTGTGGGATAGTAACGGCGAGATTTTCTCTACAAATAAAGACAGGATGCATTAAGCCGAGGCATTTGCATAACATATCTGAAAATCAGCTGCCCACTGTCACAAATTAGTAATAGGTTACATCCTCTTTTTAAATACAATTCTACCACTATGATAGGGTAATACAGGGTTAACAACACCTGCTTCTCTTGGTAAATGTAGAAAAACTTTTTTTCTACCTTTTAAATGTTAGACATTTAGAGTCTACCCAAGGCCCCCTAAAGTGTCATTTGAGAAGAAAAAAAAAATTATATCTCTTTAAATATTTTAGCAATCCAAATGAAAAAACAAACAACAAACTAATATTGACTACTGTTTAGGAGTCAAAATGATCTTTCCCCTCTTTGGAACAGAATTGGAAATCACAAGTTTGTCCCCTTCTTTTTGATAAACGGAAGTTACACAGGAGTATGAAATGTTCAAATGAAAGCCCTATAAGTTTATATAACCTATATAGCAGTGTTACACATATAACTTAATTTACATACATACATATATATATATATATATATATATATATACACACACACACACACACACACACACACACACACACACACACACACACATATATATATATATACACACACACACACACATATATATATATACATACATATATATACATATACATATATATACATATATATTATATATTATATATATATACATATATATATATATATATATATATATATACACATACATACATACACATACACACACATATATATGTATATATATATATATATATATATATATAAAAACGAAATCTGTAATTCGAATAGGTCCATGCTGCCTAGTATTCCAACTCTCAGCAATGTGCATAAAATACTAACTAGTAAATATTGTGACTAGTGAGAGTTATGGACAATGTTGAGGAAGTAAACATAAAAATGTTAATACAATACATAGCCTTAGATTAACACTCTGGAACCGTAGCTAACTGTGTGAGTCTTCTTTTTTCATTTTACAAAAGAAATTGGCACTTTTATTAATACACTTTGTTACATTCCCTGGCTGTAAGACAACCGTTCTCTTATACTTAATGGCTGGTTAGCTCACTGGAGCTAAACTCAAGAGGAAGGCAACTGTCCAGAGATCCTGACTTGCAAAGATCTCTTTATTGAGCTGCATTAAGAAGTCTTTGGCCAAAGAAAATGGGTTGTGGGGCAAGGGATGGGCTCGCAAAGGCTGCATACAAAAGATATGCAAACTGTATTTAGACATATACCCAATGAACATAATACATACATGTTTTAATTGAAGGCATATCCACTAAGTATTTTTCCCCTTTTTTCTTAGGCAGTGTCCCTTTAAGATTTGTAAAATCAGCAGTTATGAATGTAAGCTATCTTTCCAATTTAATAAGAGAAATGCATATGTCCACTCTATACAGAAATGAATGCATTTTCAATATTCCCCATATCATTTGGAATTCCATACTTTACCAGTAGCGATGATGCCAGCAGGAAGTTGTAGAAGTTTTGAATAGTCATGTATTATTACAAAGTATGTATATGGTTTTGTTTTCCATTTTGTCAACTACCTGCATCATGCATTTAGCACTACTCTTCTAATAGGAATATATTACATAATGCAATAAGATAACCACTACAAAGTAACATTTCATTATACTGTTACAATACCATGACTACTCACCTTTCTCTGAAAAACCAGCCCGAATTCCCGAAGGTGCTGTAGAAAAGTCAGTAAGGAATCACTCATGCCTTCAACAGAATAATCCTTGTGAAATAGACAGTATAAAAAGGAATTATTTAAGGTTTGATGGATTATTTTCTACAATATATAGACTGATCAGCAACATTAAAACCACCTGCCTAATATTGTGTAGGTCCCTCTCGGGCTGCCAAGACAGCTCTGATGCATCGAGGCATGCACTACACAAGACCTCTGAATGTGTCCTGTGGAAACTGGCACCAAGATATTAACTGGCCTCCAAAAGTCGGAACTGTTGTTGCCATCTCTTCCCAATATAAACGTTGCACAAGCACCCCGCCAATCCATTTAATCTAAAAGAAAATGTGCTTGTATCCCTAAAAGGTGTTTTGGCAGTGGACAGGGGTCATCATGGGCACACTAACTGGTCTGCAGCCCCATATGCAGCAAACTTCAATATATGGCCAGCATTAAGTTTTTCAGGAATCTAAGTGACAGTAGCTCTTTTGTGTGATTGGACCAGATGGAGTAGCCAATGCTCTCCACATGGTTCATTGAGCCTAGGGAACTGATGACCCTGATTCACTTGTCCTTCCTTGCACCACTTTTGGTAGGTACTTAGCAGTGCATCCCGGGAACATCCTACAAGACATAACGATTTGGAGATGGTCTGACACAGTCGTCTAACCATCCCTTTTTTGCCCTTGTCACTCTGATCTTTTCGCCTGCCTAATTGTTCTGCTTTGAACACAAGAAATTCAAGTACTGACTGTTTACTTGTGCCCAATGTATTTCACCACTTGACAGATACCATTGTAATGATATAATCAATGTTATTTACTTCACCTGCCACTGGTTTTAATATTGTGGCTGATCAGTGTACATCAAATTTGCATCACAAACATTCATCAACAAATATGCCCTTAAAATAAAATCCCCTTAATCACAACACAAGCCAGGCTGTAATAGGTCTTGATTATTGGTCTTACACAGACAGCCCCATTGTAAAGCATGCTTTTATTTTCCACGCATTCAGATGTTTTGCAAATCACAACTCAGGTGTGGCTGCTGTCAATTCACCTTTCCCAATGTTGAAAAGCTTAGCTGGAACATGAAGGAGAGTATTTCCACCAAATTCATCCCACGACTCTACAGAATAAAAAAATAAAAAGCATCTAGACATTATAATCTAAAACAGAAAGTCACATGAAAATACATTGAACCCCCACCCCATCCCTTTCTTTAATGCATAATTGAGATGTGTGACAAAAGTAAACATACGTAACAATGAATAACCAGTCATTTGCAGTATCCATTATTTCCAAAACCAATAAATCTCTGATATTTCATAAACGCATACTCTGAATACCAAAACTTAAAGAACCAGTTTCGGTGTACAGATCTTGTTACTACAGTCTCATTGTTCAATTCTCTACAGTTTAAGAGTTAAATCACTTTGTTTATGAAGTCCTAGTCACAACTCTCCTGGCTGTAAACCATGGCTCTTGAAAGATATTTTGATTTATAGTATCTTTAAAGACTATAAAACCATATAAAGAAGACTTCTCAGCTCCTTGAAGCCAAACATTTTGTCGATCAAGGGGCTGGTTTCATTCAAGTCAAGACACCAGCAGTAGTAACTTTTTCCATTAAGGAAGTAGCAATACATATATATTTTTCTCCAAATAACGTGCATTTGAAATTAACAAGCATATGTGAAATAATTTGCATTAATTGACAATATAAGGCCTGGAAACGATTCCAGGTAAGTTTAAGATTTCCAGTTCCAGAACTAATTAGAAATACCCCAATAGGGCATTCTAAATTCAATAAATTATTTAATTTAACATGGCTGGAATTGCCCTTCAAAGGAACATTTTAAGCACCATAAACCAGTACATGGGGAAAAGACAACGAAAAAAAAACCACAAAGTCTTCAGTGAATACTTTTTTACCCCTACCTTTTGTGTCACTTTAACCCATTCCCTCTAGCACATGGGTGCCCACAAGGTAGATGCCCAGATGTTCTAGAACTACAACTCCCTTTATGCTTTGCATGCCTTTAGAATGACAAAGCACCATGGAAGCTGTAGTTAAAAAAAAAAAATACAAAAAAATCTGGTGATCTACCTTTTGGGCACTCCTGCACTAGTATGTAAGTTTTTTGAGCAGGGGCCTCAACCCCTCTGTTACGGTGTGTCCAACTTGTCTAGTTACAATTACATGTTTGTTAGTCTACCCATTGTACAGCGCTATAAATCTTGACGACACTATATAAATAATCTTGTAAGTAATGCTTTGACTTTTGGAAACAAAAAGGGCTGAGTCACCTGAACATGCATACATTATGCAAATCTTAGCTCATTAGATGAGAGCAATCAGCTGACACTCTCAGCCAATGAACTGGCCTTCAACTCTCTTCTGGGTGAGAGTGTGTGGGGAGTGGTATATGGCAGACCCCAGGTAAACAGTTTGGCTACTTATATTGGTGGGGAGAGAACCAGAGCACTCTTGACACTGTAACCACTACGGCATTCTGTAATGCTTATTGTTTTTTTTGTTTTTTTTAGACACTTTAGGCACCATAACTCCTTAATCTCATTGAATTGGTTATAATGTCTAAATAACTCAGGCACTGTCCTTACATTCAGTATTTTTTTTTAATGTTTTAAACGCTAAAAATGAATACCTGGCAACCCATCCTCTCTGTGCTGCTTGTATTAATCAGGAAGCATTAGCCTGAGCAGCAGTAATTGGGTGTCAGCTGACTGCATTCAGACCATCAGAGCGCCATTCAGGTATTAACTGGTATGGCTATATCTCTGTCTTAGCCATATCTCCAGTGGGAGTTGCGGTATAGGATACCTGGGACCCTCATTCACATAGGGTAACAGTTTTAGGGGACCAGGCACTATAACCAATGGAGATGAATTGGTTATAGAGCCTGCAGTGATCCCAATAAACATCACTCACCTCTGCTGATTTCAGGTACTGAAGCATGAAGTACCATAGCTGGGATGCAGTATCTAAAAGTAAAAACTGAAATCCGGCTGATGAAATGCAAGGTGCTTCTCCAGATTCACTAAAAAAAAAAAAAAAAGCCAAAAAAAAAAACCCCACAAGCACATTAGGAAATTTGCAGTGCAACAATATGAAACAGCAAGTGAGATTTAAAAGAAAACGGCAAAACAAAAAACCAAAGATACTTATCTTAGTGTACTACTACATTTATCTAGGTTATCTTTTCATGCCATGTTTCTATTGAATCTCTTTGCTAAATGAATGTTTTATTAATATGAACGAAAGGGATACTATAGGCGTTAAGACAACTTTAGGTTACTGAAGCAGTTTTAGTGTATAGATCAAATACAAAAAAGAAGTTTCCAGGCACTCAAGTGTGAAAGCTGCAAGCAGAATTTATTGGAGCAAAAAGAGCAGCAACGTTTCGACCTTCACAGAGGTCTTTGTCAGCTTGACAAAGATTGGGATTGAGTGCGGTTCCTACAACTATCTTTGCAAATTAGTGTATAGATCTTGCATCTGCAGTCTCACCGCTCAGTTATCTGTCATTTAGGAGTTAAATCCCTTTTGTTTATGTAGCCTTAGCCACACCTCCTCTGGCTGTAGCTCACACAGCATGCATGCAAAAATATGGTTTGATTTTCAATCAGATCTTAACAAAAGGAACAATATAGTGTCACAAAGACAAACATGTATTCCTGACCCTATAGTGTTAAAAACACGATCTAGCCCCCCGACTCCCCTAAATATAGTAATCTTAAATTTACTCCAGTCTGCTGTTGCTGGCTCTGCCCCTGATCTGCCTGTTTGGCTGACAACATCAGAAGTGTTATTCAAAACCAATCACAATGTTTTCCCATAGGAAAGCATTGGATTGGCAAAGATTGCCAAGTAGGCAGATCAGGAGCAGAGCCAGCACTATCCAAACACAGCCCTGGCCAATCAGCATCTCCTCATAGAGATGTATTGAATCAATGCATCTGTATGAGGAAAGTTCAGTGTGTCCATGCAGAGGGTGGAGACATTGAATGTCGCAGCACAGCCTTAGGAAGCACCTCTAGTAGCTACCTGAGGAGTGGCTAGTGGAGGTATTCCTATGTTGCAATGTAAACCCTGCCTTTTCTCAGAAAAAAAACAAACAAAAAAAAAAAACAGTGTTTACTGCAAAAGGCCTGAATTGAATGATTATACTCACCAGAACAAATACAACAAGCTGTAGTTGTTCTGGTGACTATAGTGTCCCTTTAACTTTACTCAACTCTGTAAATTAACATGTAAGCACACACACAGGAGGCTACTGCAGGCTTTAGCAGGCCATTAAAGCAGGAGATAAGAAATTCTAACATAAACAAAGTGCAAAAAAGTTTAAGCATTAGATCACGATTTACAGGAAGTGTTTACGAAGGCTGTGTGAGTAACATACAGGGAGGTGTGGCTGGGGCTGTATAAACAAAATCGATTTAACTCCTAAAAGGCAAAGATTTCAGCAGTGAGACAGCATGGGCATGATATATACACCATAACTGCTTCATTAAGCTAAAGTTATATCGGTGCCCTTTAACATTGTATGCATATATTCCACATACATACATACTTTTTCTGCCTCTGAGCAGCTTTTAAATATGTTTTACTTAAATGTATCATAGCCATTACCTTTTCATGAGACCAGCTTGTATTAGAAGTTGAGCCAAGTCTTGGCTAACAGCAGCACTTGGTGATCCAACCATAAAATGTAAAATTACCTTTTATAGAAACAAAACTAATCAGATGAAAAACAAAACAACAAATTTTTCAAAAAACAAGCCAGTAAAAGTCTAGATTTTCTCCTTCTTAAAACTAAATGTTGTAACACCTACAGATGGACTACACCCAAAGACTACTTGCACTTATGGGGCTTAAAGTGTCCTTGGAAATAAATCACCAGGTTTTATATTTCATTTATTTTAACATGAAAGTATAAATCCATTACTCCCACTACACACCGTGTTAAATAGTTTTAAAAGTAATTCTTTACATTTTAAATTTCTTATGATGCATACTTTACCTCCCATCTCTCCTCTGCATATTTATCCAAAGAAAGTACATCCTTCCCATGTTTATCTGGTCCCAGCAGGCTTCCGTCATCAGCCCAAGCTTTGCCTCTGACAAAACAAAAAAACACTGCTATGTAAATGCAAGCACAGAAACCCATTGAACCCGTACACAAATAGCTTATGTAGTGATTTGTTTTGCATTTGCCCTCTACACCAGACCAAAATTGCCATCTGCCTGCAGAAGTGAGTTGAAATGTGTGTTGGCAGCAATATCATGCATCATTAGTATTATACAATTTTACTTCTCCTGACTCTCGACACCAGGGAGGAGTTAGTGCAGTTCTACTACTTACCCACCCAAAAGAGCAATTTTAAGATTTTCTCTGAAAATTGGATTTAAGATTAACCCTTGCAGTCCACCAGGTAGTTGCTGTGTATGCCATAATCTCAGCCCAGATAGAACTTGTGTATTTTCCTCATGTTCCCTAATTAGAAGGAAAAAAAAAAATGGAATGGAAGGAAACAAATACTACATTTTCTTTTTACTTCCTAGTAATTTATAAAGCAAAGCAATGCATGTTCAGTAACTTCTCATAATAATAGAGCATTGACTCACAAACATGCCTGCATGTAAGTTAGCAGCAGTGTGAAAGAGAGAAAACTAATAGAAGTATGTGTACGTTTTTCCTCAAGAGGTTTTACAATTATTTTGTGTTTTCAACTACTGAGTAAAAGTATATTGAATATTACAAGATATCAAGGGTGCATATTTTTTTAATGAAACAATAAGAAAAAACAAAGCAACAAAGTTGATTGAACACCATTAAACATCCCCAAAACCTATGTGTAAAATCCATCCAGTATTAATGCCATTAACCAGAAAATGAAACTAAATAAAACATCTAAAGACTTTCAATAAATACAGACTACTATGGTTTTCACGAAAATCATCATGTATGTCAATTTTAAAAGGATGTTTAAGAAAACTTTATTTTAATGGAGATATACACCAAATATAATCCCTTAGTTCAAATGCTCTAGACAGACACCATGAACAGATATTTCTGATAGGGGCAGCATGTCTCACTTGAACACTTTGAAAAGAATGTGAATGAAGGAAAACTGATGTTCCACACTGCAATCACGCAGTAACTAATAAATACAAGATTGATATTACATGAAAAGAAGGAAAAAAATAGATTCTGTTTCTAACAATAATACATTCTGAAACTGCACACACATTGACATTATGGATTTGTAAGTATAACTTACTTAAAATTTTCCTTTTTCACCCACAATGCGACAGCAGCTTGTGGTAAGGGTTGTTCCAGAAATAACATACGCATTACATAATTCTTAGCAAGGCCTGGGAGCTCCCTACAAATTTAAAAAACGTTGAGTCATTAATATTAAATGCATGTTAAATCTCTAAAAGAAGCAAATGTGTTTAATAACAACAGTCATACATTCCTTGTGAATACATATAGCACCTAGATCGTTTAAAGAGACTATAAATTCACTGCCATTACTGAGATCTGTCGCCCCTGCAAAAATGGCAACATTATTTTTACTTACCTGTGCCGAGTCACAATCCTTTCATCATCTTGGCTCCTGAATCATCATCTTCTCGTAGAGAAGCATTGTGTATAAGAAGTGCATGCGCACTAAGAACTGGGCTCCTGCAATCACACTGAATCCAATGCTTCTCTATGAGAAGCATCAGAGCACTATAAATGTTTGCATGCATTTAATGAGTCTGACTGTTCTCGCAGGGGAAGCACCATCTATTGGTTGTCGGGAAGACAACCATTAGAGATGTGTCCAAAATTACAATTTGTTTACATTGCAGGACACAAATTACAGGGCCACCGCATTCAGACCATCTCATTGAGAAGAATACACCTATGTCTGCATAAGAATTACCTGTCGTCATGTACATAAACATTAATCAAAATAATTTGGTGATGGTAATAATTATTATAGCTTATACGTATACATGCAAGAGTGCCACACCAAGCTTTATAAGACAATACATTGAGAGCACAGGGTCTAATCATAGAACCCATGACGTGGGTAGGAAGAAGTGCACTATAATAGAGCTGGAAGCACTGCATACAAAGTAAAAATATTGGATACCGCTACGCAAATAAGGAGCGTACATAGAAAGGCAGTAATATACAGATATTGAATAACTGCATATACCTAAAAACGGCCAAACATGTTGCAGGATGATTGTACAATCGATCAAGTACTCCAGGGCTCAGCTCTTGGAGAAATTCATGTAGATCCTTACACTTCAGCTGTACGCGCTGGAGCTTCATCCTGTAAATGCACAAAATGATACAAGTTAAAGGGACACTATAGTAACCAGAACAACTACAGCTTATTGAATTTGTTCTGGTAAGTAGAATTATTACCTTCAGGCTTCAAAATGCAGTGTTTACATTACAGTCTAGTGATAACTTCACTGGCCACTCCTCAGATGGCTGTTAGAGATCCTTCCTGGAAACATTCAGTATCTCCTCCATCTGCATGCAGACACTGAACTTTGCTCACAGAGATTCATTGATTAAATTAATCTCTATGAGGAGATGCTGATTGGCCAGGGCTGTGTTTGAATCATGCTGGCTCTGCCCCTGATCTGCCTCTTTGTCAGTCTCAGCCAATCCTATGGGGAAGCACTGTGATTAGATCAGGCTACCGCTTCTGATGATGTCAGCAGACTGCTTGTTTTTTTTGAGGCAAACAGCATGCAGAGTTACAGCTTCTGGCTTGAATACAGTAAGATGGTGCTAAATTTATGGAGGCATGAGGGGCCCAGGAGGGCTAGATTGTGGTTTTAACACTATAGGGTCAGGAATACATGTTTGTGTTCCTGACCCTATAGTGACCCCTTAAGGACACATGACATGTGTGACATGTCATGATTCCCATTTATTCCAGAAGTTTGGTCCTTAAGGGGTTACAGGGACGCTATAATCACCAGAACTACTACAGCTTAATGTAATGGTTCTGGTGTCTCTTGGCCCCCTTAGGAGGGAAAAGGCAGTGTTTACATTGCTGCCTAGTTACGCCTCTCGTGGCAGTCACTCAGATGGTCATTAGAGGTACTGCCTAGTCATGCTGAACATTCCCCATAGAGATGCACTAATTCAATGCTCTCTATGAGGAGATGCTGATTGGTGCAGAGTGGCGTTTGTCTGCTCATGCACAATAACCCCCCAATGCTTTTCTGTGGGAAAACATTGAATTGACTGAGATCATCAAGACTGATCATCTTACCCGTGGCAAAACCAGCGCAGTGTGGGAGAAAAGATAAGTAAAAAGGAAAGGGTGGTGAGGGACCTAAACAGCAATTCCTGACACTATAAATGAACACTGTTAGATTAAAAAGGTATATATTTTTGGAGTGTTCCTTAACTGTCATAGTATCCCCTCTTGAAAGTCTACTGGTTATCTTTCTTATTTGTTGGTGGATGCTTGTGCACAAATGAATGTGGTAGGTGTAAACAAATATATATGAATAAAGGAAACAAATTAAAAAAGGTAATACATATATTTCAAGATACTCACTTAAACTTGCCTTCTTATTTTTGAATTTAAGATAGAATTGATCTCAAGCATTCATATTGCTAAAAGTGTCCATGAAAATTAAATATAAGGAGTAATAATCCGTCTTCACTTAGAACTGGTTACTTGATAGGACATCTTGATCTACCTGTAAAATAAACAATAGTTGAAATGCATTTCCTTTATGATCAGTCACTTAAATACACATGAATACAATATACAAATATGGCAGCAGTTCAGATATTCCAAGGATATAAAATATGTATGGTCCGACACCTGGGACATGTAGATCCTGATGCCAGGCAGGCATTTTGTTTGTGTGTTTAGATCTGCCGCGGGAAAACCTCAAGGTTGCCAGAGGGAGGACAGTGTTAGGGGCAGGAAGTGTGAACATTATTCTCCCTTGCAGACCTCTGTGCAGTGATGAGTCAGAGCGCAGCCCTCGTGACTCCCAGTATGCACTCTAACTCTGTGAATTCTGGAACCGCAAAGAGCAGAATAACTGAGGTCCATGTAAAAAGGAATGTGCTCCATGTATTGTGTGAAGACGTCAAATTGTGACAACCTCCAATGATCTAAGTAAGATCCTTTAGTTGCGTTCACCAACAGTTGTGACATGGTTTACGTTAAATGAAACCACTGTCATTTCTTTGAATCAGCAATGTTATATTATACATTGACAGAAAAAAAAAACGGAACTAGACTGGACCAAAATCACATAATGATAAAATTTATTGTCATACTTAGAATGTCCCCTTTTGATTCACGAAAGCAAACGAAAAAGTCGTCACTTCTCCAAAAGCGCTTGTCAGAGCTCGGGTATTTCGGCGTTAATTTTGCTGTTACGATTTTAATTCACTACAATTCAGATATTATCATACATTATTTAAATAGCGCCAACGTATTTCGCAGCGCTTTAAGTTATTATAAAAGGAGAACATTTAAAATATAAGTGAGACAATTACAAATTATTACAGGAACAATAAGACCCTGCTCAAACGCACTTACAGTCCAGACAGACCCTTCTGTGTGCAGTTTTTGGTTGCTTGTCATTATACCTGCATTGCTGCTTGGTGAGTGAATTCGAGGGCCATTTATATTGGACTGACTCTGATATTCCCATATATGTGTTCCCATGTACATAACACAGTGCCAAGCATGTTTCCCTTTCCAGCACATATACCACATACAGCACACAGCCTAACAAGGCGATATAGCTATTGTTACCAGTGAGGGACATGTACTATAGTTGTCACCATTACCAGCTTTCCGTGTTCTGAAGATATGCCCGAGATGTACTCATAACAACAGACTCCAACTTGTCAGTAAAGCATAGCCTGGATACGAGGTCCAGCTGCGCATGCGTCGACCACGAGTCGGTCGCACACGAGTGGTTTGCGTACACCCAGCGCATGTGCGTCGTACGTAAGAACAGGCGCAAGCGCAGTTACTTCGTGGAAGCCGACGTCGAGGGCACCGTGTTTACGACTGCGCATGCGCACACGGAGCACGCACGTGTATGGGGTTATGGATGGAAATTGAAAAGTAGTTTGTTTGTTTTTTTTGTTTTGTTTTCTTCTTCTGAATAAAACTAGTAGTATTATAGTAAAATAATAGTAATGTCGTTAATATAGATATCTGAAAATTAATTTTGAAAATATCAAACAAGTTTTGCGAGTGACTATATTTCTAGGTTTAGTGTAGTTTGACTCCTATTGATGGAGCCTGTTATGATCTTATTGCTAATATAAAGGTATGCAACTATCATTTAATTAATGTGTTATATAGACAAAGCTGCTGCACACTCAAAGGCATGTGTCCTGCAACAAGCTCGTTCTGGTTTATGGGGTCTGACCACATTCACAGTCCCACATTAAAGGACCACTATAGTGCCAGGAAAACAAACTTGTTTTCCTGGCACTATAGTGCCCTAAGGGTGCCCCCACCCTCATGGCCCCCCTCCCGCCGGCCTGAAATTGGAGGAAGGGGTTAAATACTTACCTTTCTCCAGCGCTGGGGACTCTCCACCTCTTTTCCGACGTCATCGGCTGATTGTGTATGCGCGGCAAGAGCCGCACGCGCGTTCAGTCAGTCCATAGGAAAGCATTCTCAATGCTTTCCTATGGACGCTGGCGTCTTCTCACTGTGAAAATCACAGTGAGAAGCGCCTCTAGCGGCTTTCAATGAGACAGCCACTAGAGGCTGGATTAACCCATATGTAAACATAGCAGTTTCTGTGAAACTGCTATGTTTACAGCAGGCAGGGTTAATCTTAGATGGACCTGGCACCCAGACCACTTCATTAAGCTGAAGTGGTCTGGGTGCCTATAGTGGTCCTTTAAGAGGAACAGACTGGACAGAGTCAATAGTACACGTTCTGATCAAAACAAAATGTAAACAAAAACTGGAATTTGCGCTAAATGTCTGTTCAACCGTAACTCACCTCTTTCATATTAAGTGCACCCACACTTATATATCATTTTGTTCAGGAGAAACAGGATTTTAATTTATCATGAAATATTCCTATATGAAACATAATTTATTATGAATAATAAAAAAAACAAAAAACTGAGAAATTAAGATTTAAAAAAAAAAAAAATTGTAGTTCCCCCTGACATTTTAGCTGTAAATGTCATAATACTGTTAGCTTTAACTGCGATAAAATGCACCTATTTGTATTCAGCAAAGTCTCACAAGTACAACAGTACCCACCCATTAACAGATTTTACGGTGTTTTGGAAAGTTACAGGGTCAAATATAGCACTTTTCATTTTTATCACATTACAATTTGCCAAATTAGTAATGTTACCTTTGAGACCATGTGTTAGCCCAGGAATGAGAATTACCCCCATGATGGCATACCATTTGCAAAAGTACACAATCCAAGGTATTGCAAGTGGGGTATTTCCAGTCTTTTTTAGTAGCCATTTAGTCACAAACACTGGCCAAAGATAGCGTTCATATTTGTTTTTGTTTGAAAAAAGCAAAAAAACAAACATTTGGCCTGTGTTTGTGACTAAGTGGCTACTAAAATAGACTGGACATACCCCTTTTGCGATACCTTGGGTTGTCTACTTTTGCAAATGGTGTGCCATCATGGGGGTAATGTGCAACAAACCACGCACATCCTTGTAGGTGCTGACTTTTTCTTGGTTGGTGGGATGTCCATGAAGATCTTCTTGTATTACATCTATTGCTGTTTCCCCATTGCTGGGTAGAATGTCATTGCTTGGTCGGCTCTGTCGACACCTCCCATGGTGTTATTGTAGTCTATCACTACTTGTGGCTTCATGATTTCTTTTGTGCGTACCATAACAGTGGAGGTATTATGAACTGTACTCAGGCACACATCTTTCCAAACAATGGCGGCATGTCGCACCGGTTAGCCCTAACGGTTCCATAGGCATCTGTTTTGTTTTGCAGAAGAAACTCATAAAGTTCAGGAGACGTATAAAAGTTGTCAGTTGTTACGCAATAGCCCTGATTTAGCAATGGCTCAATGAGTGAAAGAACGGAAGATGTTGCCATTCCATAGTTGCTGTATTTTGGGTTGAATTTTGTTCCTTTTTCAGTGTAAATGACTGAATTCTAAATGTAACCAGTTGACGATTCGCATAGCATGTAGGATTTTACGCCAAATCGTGCTCTCTTTGGTTGTACCCAGCTGAGCCTTCCCTTGTAGGCCATTAGACTTTCATCTTGATATATCCTTCTGGCACATAGGATGGAAATTCTTTAGAATCATTTAAGATACTTCCCAAATTTTCTTTAGTTTTGGTGCAGGATGAGTAGTTTCATCAAATTCTTCATTGTTTTCAAGGTGTAAAAAATGTATGATCAGGGAAAATCTGTACTCTGACATACCAAAGAATGGAGTGGCAAGTAATTTATTAGTTGTCCAATACCACCTCTGCAGGGGTTTTCCCACCACTCCTTGAAGTATGCTTAGTCCCAGAAATTTCCAAATGTCATCTTTGGTCACTGGTTCCCACTTTCTGCTTCTTGAACACTTCCGATGCAGAGTAGCTAATTGTTGCTCTTTGAACCAGTTTGTCTCAGTAACTATTTTTTCAATAACCTCATCGGCCAGAAATATTTGTAAGTAGGCCAAGGGGTTGTTGTGTTCAACGTCTACTTTCATACTAGATACTCCAGCAAATGAGAATCTTGGGGGTGCTGCCTGATCCGTACCACAGTCAATAGAGCACCAAGTTCGCACATCACTGAGCTCGGTTGTAGAATCGTCGCTGTCGTCACTTTCAGTGTCTGATGATGAATTTTCCCATTAATCACTATCGCTCAATTCTACAAGTGATTATATCACTATCGCTGTTTTCTAGCTGGTCTAAAACCACTTTTGACCTAAAGGTACGCTTTTTGGATGCCATGGATATTCTCAAGTTTTCAGGCAGAAAGAACGGTAAAAGCGCAGGCAGGACTGTCCCAGGGTATTATACACACATACCTGTATTATACAGAGAGCAGCACTGTACAGGGAGCCCTGACTATTCTGGGATAATATGCAGACACAGACCTGTATTATACAGAGAGCAGCACTATACAGGGAGCACTGACTGCCCCAGGATATTATACACACATACCCGTATTAGACAGAGAGCAGTGTTATACAGGGAGCACTGACTGTATAATACAGGTCTATGTGTGTATAATATCCTGGTGTGAATAGAGTAAGGAGCACATCTGGTACAGTCAGTGCTTCCTGTATAGTGCTGCTCTCTGTATAATACAGGTCTATGTGTGTATAATATCCTGGGAGCAGCACTGTGCAGGGAGCCCTGACTATTCTGGGATAATATACAGACACAGACCTGTACTATACAGAGAGCAGCACTATACAGGGAGCACTGACTATCCCAGGATATTATACACAGACCTGTATTATACAGAAAGCAGCACTATACAGGGAGCACTGAGTGTACCAGGATATTATGCATACAGACCTGTATTATCGATAAATTATCTATAAAATTTAGCTTACATTTATTGGTACCTCCAACAAATGCAATACATACATACAATATATACATACAGACTGCTGAATACACACACAGACTGCTGAGTAAACATACACAGACTGCTGTGTGTGAAGGTACTGTGTGCGTCAGGGGTGCTTTGTGTGTAAGGAATGTTGTGTGTGTGTGTGAGGGGTGCAGTGTGTGTGTGAGAGAGGTGAGGGGTGCAGTGTTTGACGGGTGCTGTGTGTGTGAGGGGTGCTGTGTGTGCATGAGGGGTGCAGTGTGTGTGTATGTGAGGGGTGCTGTGTGTGTGTGTATGTAAAGGTGATGTGTGTGTGCTGGGGTGTTTTGTGTCAGGTTTGCTGTATGTGTGTGAGGGGTGCTGTGCCCTGTGGTCTGGTGGTGGTGAGTTGTCACAAGCTCACTACAGACAATCTCACTGACACACACATACACTGACACACACACACATGCTTTCTCACTAGCAGGCAAATACACACACACACACACACACACACACACAAGACTGAGTATATCAAGCCTACCTGGCACTGGCAACTGGCTCTTGCTGGGAGGTCAGGTAGCCATTATCTGCAGCAAGGTCTCCTGCTCAATGTGGGGGTGGAGCTTAATGGCAGGAGGCTGAGCTTGTGTGCATGGGTGGAGCTTCTGACAAAGGGGCAGAGCCTGCATCCGCGAGGCAGAGCAGGAGCCTGTGTGTGTGTAGTTGAAGCTGCTGGGAAATTGGAAGGGAGACTGTCAGTGCACCCTCTGACCCCAGCAGCCTCTCTCCAGCCCCCAGAATCTCCCAGCACCTCTCTGCTGAATTCCCTCAGACTGTAACAGAGTGAAAAAACAGGACAGTTGGCAACTATGGAATGGGGTCTGCATCATGGTTGAGCACCATTGTGTCACATATTCATCCGCTTATAGAAATGTGGTTAATGACATTTACTGTCCACACAGGAAAAGTTGTGCCGAGCAGCAACCTAATCCACAGAAGGGTTAATGCTGAGCAGTAATTGTGCAAATGAAACCTGGTGTCATGTATTCATCCGCTTAGAGAAAAGTGATTAATGACATTTACTGTCCACACAGGAAAAGTTGTGCCGAGCAGCAACCTAATCCACAGAAGGGTTAATGCTGAGCAGCAATTATGCAAATGAAACCTGGTAACTGACTTTGGGGTCAAAGGCCGGTTACAGCCTATCAGAACTAAAGGAGGGGTATTTAGGCCCAGTTCTCAGCCTGCTCAGTGCCCTGTCGTGGTTTCCCTTGTGGTTGTCTGAGAGCGCGTTCCTGTTTATAGTTTTCTACCTGGTTTTTGACTTTGGCTTTGTTTATTGACTTCTCTATATTCTGGTATCCTGACTCCTGGCTTTCCTCATCGCTGTGTCCCTTTCTGTGTTCCCTGACCTCGGCTAGTATTTTTGACTAT